TGCCACAAAGGCATAGATTTAGAATCCATGATTTGCATGCTTGGAACTTGCAGTTGCTCTAGCTTGACATTAGAAAACCTAGAGGAATAAATTTTTATTTTTTAAAGGTTTTATTTACTAATTTGACACAGAGAGAGAGAGCACAAGCAGGGGGGGCAGCAGAGGGAAAAGGAGAAGCAGGCTCTCTGCTGAGCAGGGAGCCCGATGCGGAGCTCGATCCCAGGATCCTGAGATCATGACCTGAGCCGAAGGCAGATGCTTAACTGACTGAGCCACCCAGGCGCCCCAAGGAATAAATTTTTAATACTGATCATACATAGTACTTCTCCAATGTTAATTGTTAACCTAGGTCTTAAAAAAAAAAAAAAGACAATAACAAAAAGTCAACCTTGCCATTGTTTACAAGTTTCTAAAAAACTGATTTTTGGATTGCTTTTTAAGCTGATATGACATATTTGCTTTGGATACTGAAGAAGAAGGCATGTTGTCATAGACATGTAAGACTAGAATTCCTGGCTGCTGGAGGAAAGCATGAGCTCTTGGATCTGCAGCAATGCTGATGGGCAGATTCATAGCTTGTCAAAAGAGTGAACTCTAACTTGGCTCAGACTTGGTAAAAACTGCAAATTTTTTTTTTAAGATTTTATTTATTTATTTGAGAGAGAGAAAGCATGAGAGTGGGGAGGATCAGAGGGAGAAGCAGACTCCCAGCTGAACAGGGAGCCTGATGCGGGGCTTGATCCCAGGACCAACTGAGCCACCCAGGCGCCCCCAAAAATTGCAAATATTTTTGAAAGAGATTCCATCTGATTGGAAGATCTGTGGGTCTGTTACTAGTCATCTGCTTCTGCCGCAGTAATTGTTATTATTCCTCCGGAGGAAGTTTTGACTTTGAGTAGTCCTGAATGAGCCAACCTATCACATGCTAACTATAAGAGAATAAATAAGGGGCAGAAACAGATCTTTGGATGACAGTTGCTTTGTAATATCTATCTGGATGCAAAGAGCTTTGGCTAAAATCAATAATTTTGATATAATAGATATTGGACTAGCCTTGATGACATTAAATTATGTGTTTATTTGTTTTTTCCTAAGGCACATTTTTGAAGTATAGTGACAGTATCATGTTATTTTCATAGAGGTCAGTAATTTTTTTCTCTCTCTTTTTTTTTGCTAAGGACCTGGGACATATATCTGATTTATCTAAAAACTATATCATATCATGTAGGCATTTATGCAGTGAATACTCTGATAAAACATTAAAACCTTGATCTATTTTAAGTCCCTGCACATACAATCGCAGATTGTTCCTCTCCATGGGAGTAAGGGCTGATGATGCATTGATAGGTGGTACAATGGACTTTTAATTGTTCAGAACTGTTCCTCAATTAGCTGAAACGGTACAATGCTCAAATTCATAAACAGGAAGATCTTACTCATATTTCTTATTTTATCTTCTCAAAATTACATTACAATTAATGTGGTGTTTTGGTTGCATATGAATGTTATTCTAGGTGTCATGATTGGATATATAATTTTTTTTAAGATTTTATTTATTTATTTGAGAGAGAGAATGAGATAGAGAGAGGGGAGGGTCAGAGGGAGAAGCAGACTCCCCGCTGAGCAGGGAGCCCCATGCGGGACTCGATCCCAGGACTCCAGGATCATGACCTGAGCCAAAGGCAGTCGCTTAACCAACTGAGCCACCCAGGCTCCCTTTTTTTTTTTTAAATTAAGATCAAATATATAATTTGCAGTCACACACACATGCAAATATTTTAAGGGCCCAGTTACCAGAATCAGACATACTTAAGTGTCTAGTTCTATCAATCATTTATTAGCAAAGTTATTAGCAGAATTTATAAGAGCTATATGATAACTCTGAATCTTCATCTATAAATTGTAATAAGAATAGTACTGACCCCATAAAGTTGTTGAGGAGATAATGAATTTAACATGCTTTGTGTATATCTGGAAAATAGTACACCTCAATCAATAATGATAATTATTGCTATTGTCATTATGTTGAACAAAAAAAATTAAGTGAAAAATGATTCTCGTGTTAGTTCATATTTAGGTCTAACCTGGACTTGGAAGTAAGAGCCTGAATCTATACTAGAACAGCCTCTTTGACTTCAATTTCTTAGTCTGTAGTCAGAATTCTGTATAAGCCATGTCTATGTCTAAAAACTAAGCTGCTTTAACTCACCTATATGCAACCAGAATCAGAGTCTTGATGTTCTACAGGACATTAAAGATGGAACAACCCCATCTCCTCACCTTCCAACTCTATTATCCTAGATGAGTTAATTTCCCTTTTGAGGCCTTTGATTTCTCATAAAAAATACAGGTATGAAAATTACTTGCAAAGATATCTTGAAGTTTTTAAAGTATAATTCAATGACATTTCTTGCAATTAATCAATAAAAGTGGCTATTGTTTAAAAGTTAGTTTAAAAATAATTAGAAGATTGGAGAACATTTTAAGGATGATATGTTGTTTGAAAACACGTGGAAGTGACCTTGGGCTATCAAATATTGTTTTCATTATTCCAATACGTTAAAACTGGCTGCTCATTGAAATTTCCTAATACAAATTTTGCTCTCTTCTGAAATTGTGAATAGTACTTAAAGAGATGCTGAATAATTGACACATTATTTAATTATTCTCTGTTGAATCTTCCCTTTATATTTATAGTCTCATTATCTATTTTTGAGTAATTTTTAAAGATGATGAATTGGGGGAAAAACACATCTTAAGTAGCTGGACATGGGGGTGCCTGGTTAGCTCAGTGGGTAGAGCTTGTGACTTTTGATCTCAGGGTTGTGAGTTCAAGCCCTACTTTGGGTGTGGAGCCTACTTAAAATAAATTAATAAAAAAATAAATAAAATAGCTGGACATGGTGAAAGAACTGGGTAAAAGTGGTCAAAGGGTACAAACTTCCAGTTATAAGATAAGTAAGTTCTGGGGATGTAAAGCACAACATGATGTCTATAGTTAACATACTATATTGTATATCTGAAAGTTGCTAAGAGAGTAGATCTTAAAAGTTCTTGTCACAAGGAAAAAATTTTGTGAACTATGTGTGGTGATGGATGTAGTAATAATCATTTTGGAATATATACATATATCAAATCATTATGTTGTACACCTGAAACTTATACAATATTGTATGTCAATTGTATCTCAATCAAATTGGGAAAAATAAAACAGCTGGACGTGCTTTTCTCAAAAATCTATGGTGGTTATAATAGCATTTGGACTGAAGTTATGATGAAAAATCTCATTATGACTTACAATTTGGACTAATGTTAACAAATCAACATGATCCACATAAAGAAAAAATAAAAAGGGAATAAATTTGGAGGTTCCAAATAGGATAGCTCTTTAAATAAAATAATGATCGGGCGCCTGGGTGGCTCAGTTGGTTAAGCGACTGCCTTCAGCTCAGGTTATGATCCTGGAGTCCTGGGATCGAGTCCTGCATCAGGCTCCCTGCTCAGTAGGGAGTCTGCTTCTCCCTCTGACCCTCCCCCCTCTCATGCTCTCTCTCTATCTCATTCTTTCTCTCAAATAAATAAATAAATAAAATCTTTAAAAATAAATAAATAAAATAATGATCAAATGCTAACCTTAGGCAGCAGAACATCTTGTGAAGCTTATAGAACATGGTTATATATAGGAAATATTCCCTTCCTGTCATAGATATGGGTTGAAGTAGGTCCAAATATACAATGCTAAGTGGTGCTCACCTGAGACAATGCTTTCTTTTTTACGATTTATTTATTAGAGAGAGAGACAGAGAGAGAGTGCCCACAGAAGTGGGGTGAAGGGCAGAGGGAGAGTAGCAGAGGGGGAGGGGGAGGAGAGAGAATCTCAAGCAGACTCTCTGCTGAGACTTAAGCCCAACACAGGACTCCACCCCACCACCATGAGATCATGACCTGAGCCAAAATCAAGAGTACCACAGTTAACTGAGCCACCCAAGTACCCCTGAGACAATGCTTTCTTAATAAAAAAAAAAAAAAAAAAAGTCAATTAGCTATACCGTCAAGAGATAATGGGAAAGGTTTGTCACCCAAAGGTGCATTGTCAAATGAAAGGCTTTTTCCTAGAAAACCACAACTAACACTTGACTACCAGAAGGCCAAGGTCATATCTGACTCAAAAGTGTAAACATCAGCCTGAGTCTCTGGTAAATTCCACTCAAGGTATGTAACACTAAATAAATCCCTTGAAATATTTGAGCTTCACTTTCTTCATCCGCGAAACAGGAATGATGACATAAAACTTGCCTAGGAATGAACGTTGTGAGGGCCAAAGGAGATAATGCAGGGCCAGGGTTTTGAAACGGTCAAGTTTTGGACACAAGTCAATTATGTAACAAATGTTAGAATAGCATTACCTGCAGGATTATATGTTTTCAGTGATTTTGACCAATTTAAGCTTACTTAGAAAGGTCAGGCTTTTAGAAATTGTTGGTAAGACTCAGAGATTTAGGTATCAGGAGTCTGATGATGAAATTATAGAAACTGTGTGTTTTCCCCTGGTCCAAGAAGGTCATCTGTTCTCCCGTTTTTGTTACGAGTAATCAAAAGTTGACCCTAAACGAATTCCAGCTCCTTGAAAGGTATTTTTTTTCCTTCTGTACCAAAACGGTCCTTATCCCCCTTTCCTCGCGCCAGTCATTTCTAGGCCCCTGCAGGGGGACTACATTTCACAGAAACCCCTCCAGTGCCCGGAGGGGAAGGTGCTGTGACGTCCTTCCACGCTCGGTCGGAACACCTTTTCCCTCCCCCCGCCCGCCGGCGCGCCAGCCCGCTGTCCCGCCAGCCCGCGGTCCCCGGCTCCC